CAATGATGCCTCAGAATGTCTCGTTTGCGTATGTTCTTTCTGTGCGTGGGAAAACACTGCCATTCTTCATGTCATTCCCTGCTTGTGCTATCAGGGGATTTTTACAAGTGGTACAGCTCTTGGTTAGAAACCTATTTTTGCTCTAGTATTTGGATTCCTTATGGCTGATCCTTAAAACCGTATTAATCTCCAAAGGATGGTGAATTGAGTCAAACACCAGAAGGTTTGAAGCCTGAGAGGTGTATGCTGCCCCTCATATTCAGGCGTTCCTGAAAAAATTTCCTAGGAAAAGGAATCTAAAATGAATTATTCTATACTGATTGGACTAACTCTCCTACTTAAAGCAGAGGGTACAATTCGTTAGGAGGAAGTATGTTTGATATGCAGTTTACACCAACTATGAGAAAACATCTCAAAGGAGAGTTAGAAGAATTGAGTATCTAGGTTAAGTTAAAAAATAAAAATTTAAAAAGTAGGCAACAGTTCAACTAAAGAAACCCCTCCAGTATCACTGAAATTTTCAAATAATGTTCTTTATTAAACATAAATTTTCCTTAAATTATCACATGGATATAAAAATAAATTAGGAAATGTAATGAGAATATTGCTAGATTTCAGGTTTTTTGAGATCAAATTTTCTTTGAAGACCCTTGGTTAAATTCAGGAAAGGTGAAAGCTTTCTGAACTTTTTGCTCAAGAAATGCTTTTTAAAGGTGCAGAATGAATGCTGGATCTATGTGTACCTGACCTGAATGGGGAAGAGGAATTCACTGTCTTTTTGACTAAAATTCTTAGCTGGTAAAATAGGACATTTCTGTTTGAAGACTAGGAGACAGTGAAGTGTAGAATAGTTCTATGTAGCTGAGCTAAGCTGCCAGAACCCATATAAAAGCCTGCCTTTGCGGATTCTCTGTCATCAATTCAAATAATATCATCTCGATTGAGGTTAAGCTAGGAGAGTTCTTACTTGTCAATATTTAGAATTCAATAGTTCAGAAGTGTTTCCTTATAGCTGAATGTATTTGTCTTAACTTTTTTCAGAAGTGATATAGGTAAAAAGGCTTTGAGAACCTCCATATAATTATTTGCAGTGAGAGTTCAGAATTTAATGGACATATCCATAGTTAAATTATTACTTTGAGGAATATTTAGAAAATTGTCTAAAACAATCATACATTATAACACTTCACTATAAAATGCAACAAGAGCACACTCATGTCATTTGAATACCAAATATACTCATACACAATTTAGGCCTTCAAAATACTATAACTTACTTAAGGTATAAAATGTTAAAAATGATGCAGAAATACTATAAAATAATGTTTCCTAAAATCTAATTAATACATACAAGTTAAAATAATTGATTCAACATACTTAGTGTTTAAGATGAACAGAACCAATTGCAACTTTAGTTATTATTTAAGTAGCATGCTATCTATTAAAATTGGCTGGAAGACAGCCAAAATAAACATTTGAAGGACAGTAGGAATTAAGAGTTGCTATTTATCTTATTTTTATTATACAAGTCAGTACTGGGATATAGTGTGAAAATATGTATAAATATAAATTTAAGCTATTTCCTAATATTTCCGTTCTAATTCCAAACATTTAGATATTTTAAACTTCTTAACTTTTGCTACTTTATGTATAAAAATACATACAATATTAATTACAACTTTTGCTTTCAACTTAGTTTATCTTAGAAACAAGGGATTATATATTTATTACATATTAAAATTCCTGATCCATTCTTATTTTTGATTATAGCATTGTGGCAATTTTTCTATAGAAAGCAATAGAAATTTAAGCTTATTTAAAAAATTAATAGTCATGCCACTGAACAGAGAAAAAGGGTGGGAAGTCTCTATAACTAAAAGTATGTCTGTTCAAGAGAGTTACTCACAGGAACTAAGTTGCAGGAAAGTATAAGGTACCTAGTGGTTACCAGTAACCTTGCAGGTTATTTAGGAAAATTAAAAGAAATTCTGCGATTGCAGACCTTGTTTCAATTACTTGGTCTCTTCCCAGTTCGTGAGTTCTACTTTCTTCTGGCTTCACTTCATATGAAAAACAGTTCCATAAGTATCTTTGTTATAATCAGCTATTAATTATCATCAATTCAACATTAATTTTAAATGGTCTGATTTTAGAACAGATTTTGATAGGGTTAACTTACTACACTTATTTTCCCTTGCAAATTTTATAGTAGCTCTAAATAAAAAAGATGCGGCATATTCTAGATGCTAAAGCTCTCAAAATGTTTTGTTTAAAACTTACACGTCACAAAATTTTCCCTCAGAAAATTCTGCTATACTATGGGTTATAGCTTTTTTCAAATTGTGACCCTGAAGTCGTATCAGAAAAACGAAAGCCTCGTTGCTGTTTTTAAATGTTTGGAGTTTTGTCTGATCAAAGGCAGTGTAATGGATAATAGGACTTCTATTTCAAGATCAAGCCCGAATTTACAATAACTAGTAAGACAATAGTGAAGTCTGAGGTTACCGGTCCACATCCGAATGCCAAGTTCTAGACACTGGACAGTGTCCACGCAGAGATCAGGAGGCCGCGGGCAGCCGCGGCAGAGGTGAGCGCAGTGTGGTGCGGGTGACAGAGCTCCAGGCACAAGATTCAGATGTAGCCGAAGGGGAGGGTGAGGAGTGTCTGGGGAGACAGCCTCGCTGGCTGACAAAGATGGGGCAGCTTTAGAGAAAAAGCCTATAGGGAGGCTTTGCAAAAGTTTGGTACAGTGTGTTTGGGAAATTACATAGTATTTGACATTGCTAGCAGGTGAATCAGAAAGAGGCGGAAGAGTACAAAAATAGACAAAAGCCAAGGGGCCAAGTCTTAAAATTTACGGATTGTATTTCTGTATCTGGTTCTAAAAGTTGTTGAGTTAATAACTATGTCGATCTACTATGCACATGTGGACGTAAAATGCTAATTCACAGCATATCAACTTAACAGGTTATTAATGTAGAAACATAACACAGGTATAAAGTGTGCGTGTCACGGTAGGCAGGTGTCCTTACGTATTTCCTCACCTAGTTCTTCTAAAACTCCCCCGAGAAAAACCAATGCAAAATCATCTCGCTGCACGCCTTTGCTCTGTGTCAGTTCTGAGAACCCCTTTTGCAGCGCAAAGCTCTGAAGGGAATTCAGTTGAAGAGAAAGTCTTACTCCCTTTCATTCTGCTACAACAGAACCATTTTTTGGACTTTCTTTATTAATAGAATTTGACTTAAAACCAAGTCTGTTCATTTAGCTTTTTTTTTTTTTAAGTTAAACATAAGTGAAGTACGATGCCATCACCTCCTATTTTATCCCATATATTGTCTCACACACACCAGCAGGCATATTCCTGTGTGTTCCCGTTGTTAAACATTTTGACATGATTCTCTAGACTAAGATCACTGGGTCTGAGTCTTTATATCTTGAATATTGGTGACATTTAGAGCAGAAGTTTAGAAAAATTTTCTCCCTGTACTTTATAATTCTCTTATCTTGGGGCATTATTGACATACCTGTGAAACAGGTGATGTGTGCTTGCATGTAGCAGTGAAAATTATATTATTATACTTAAAATTAAAAGGTGCCTCCCATGTCACTCATATTTTTGGAAAAAAAGCAGATAAAAAATATTTCTTAGAAGTAAATCTTGTATTTACTATTTACTGTTTGTTTGATATTTCATGGTAGATTCAATCTTCAGTAGAGGTTTTTATTCAAAGTTTTCAACAAAATAGCTTTCCTTATATACAGGATGACCCCAAAAATATATACACACTTTGCATGATTATAAAGTCAGTGTTTAATAACATACAGTTCATTTTCAAAATTAAGTGAGTTAACAGCTGTTAAAGTGTGTATACATTTTTGGGGGACATCCTGTATTTCCAATAGCAATGTAAATAATCTGATATTCCTGGTAGACCAACAATAGGATTGATTTAGGTAAAGCTAAAATGCTGCTGAAACAGGATTTCATCATTATTTGGTCATATCCTTACCAAGGATTTCAATTTGACAGACCAGTTTCAATCCACAGTAACAGCTTTGTTCCTAAGAGACTGTAAATCAAAGAAATGCTCACTAAGGGGCAGTTCCTACTGCAGTTCAAAGTCTGCGCTATTATCACGTCGCAATTGACAGCAAACATGCCCCGCAAATATTAGTGCCCGACCTTTGGAGGAGGTATGTGGTGTTTTTCGTTTCACTCTCTACCTCTGAAACCTATCTGCCTGTGAGAAAAACTGTGCAATAAAAGAAGTTTTACCAGCACATACTGTAGCTGTGCTTGAATTCAATGTGCGGATTTCACTTCCTTTCTTTCCTTGGATCCCGGCCGGGCGCACAATGGGGGTGTTGTGCTCTGGGCGAGCGTGGCGAGCATGATACTGGGAAAGGACGCGTGAGCTGCTTCCAGGACCTACACTATTTGCTTTACGACACCCCCAAGCAAATCCAACAGCACACCGAGGCTCTGAGCTCAGAGGAGGCAAGTGCAAAATCCACCGGCTATTCTGATCTGCATACGGAACGGCATTTCTTAAGTGAAAAGTCTACACAGGTGTGTTGAGAGTTAAAATACATCAACGCCGAGGCTTAAACATAAACGCTTCACAATTTTTAAGCCTCTGATTTTCCATTTAATTCTTTTAACACATGTCAAAGTGCAGTTAATAAAAGAACCCATTGTTTGTGAGGGAGAAAGGTGGCTGGTTATAAAGACTACCCAGAATAAGCCATTCTGGTCTGTTAAAATAGTAAATATTTATTCCAAACACCAAGGGGTATTAGTAATGTTTTTGTTGGTTATATCATCTGATTTCTAGAAGCTAAACTCACTGAAACAAGTCTGTGCCTCGGACACTATTTTGTGGAAGAGTGTGTGTGTGTGGATCCCTCCTCGGTAAATCAGAGAACACAATGTATACCCATGTTTCAGGTTAAGCTGAGTTACTGATAATGCTGTGTTTTAAGGAAGGCAAAAGGCTTACCTCTGTCAGTGAGTGGCCACACAGGGCTCCTGCTGGGCCGCGGCCTCGGCGTGCAGGCAGATGCTCTGGGAGCCAACGGCCTGTCCCCCGGAAGCAGGTGAACCTGAGAGCGCCCTGCCGCCGGGTCCCAGCCCCGCGGCCACCCGAGCAGCGCACACCTGCTTCCCCGCCCTGGCAGACACGGCCTCGCCCCCGGCTCGCAGGCGGGAGCGCCCTCCTTCTGGGTCACTAGTTTTCAGGCTGAGCAGCTAGAGAGCTGCTGAGATAATATTGCAGGCAAGGCTTGCCTTCCCGAGACAAAACCCTTTCTGCTGTCTGATAGCAGATATGCAGCATTATCTCGCCGCATTCCAGTTTCTCAGCTCAGCTCCGGGGAGCAGCAGTCAGCAGCCTGTCCCAGCGGCAGCTTGCAGGCGGCCGGCTCTGAGCATTGTATGCTAAGGTGCCCATCGCTCCTCTCCTCTCTGAATAGCTGTTTAAAAAATGCTTCTTCCAGGGTAACGCTCGGCGGAATATGCCACCCTGCTTTCCATAAGTAAAATGGCTGGTGCTCGCAGCCCTGCTGCAGGCAGCTCATTGGGTTCCCCTGGCTTTGCGTAGTCATAGCAACAGCCAACAGCCAGCCATAGGCTGCAAGCGCGGCTGGTCATGTGCAGGGCACCCACCCAGCTTGCGAATGTCTTTTCATCAAACTCATCATTTTTTAATTTTTTTATAAGGAGGGTAGCTTCTGCTCTTTCTAAATATTTCACCAATAGTCCAAGTGTCTAAGTTTTCAGTTTTCAAGAGGAACTTAGGTTATAGGAGACAGTGCTGCATGTGGAACTGAGAAAGGGAAGCCCTGCTCAATAGACAGAGTCGGGTCTCTCCAGGTTAACAACATGCAAATCAGAGTAGGGACGCTAACTGGGACCATTGTCAAAACAGGTACGACCTTCACTCCTAGAATGAGCCTAAAGGAGACTGACAAATACGGACAGTTATACTTTTTGTTCTCCTGTGCACCCAAAGGTTGCCGATTCGATTCCTGATCAGTTGCGGGCTCGATCCTGGTAGGGAGCATGCAGGAGGCAGCCCATCAGTGTTGCACTCTCGCATCGATGTTTCTAAATGATAATCTTGTAGTCACTTAATGAAAACAAAGCACTATGACTCACTATATGTGGCCAATATAAGAACCAAATCAGACAGAATATTTTAATAAGGTGTTACCTATGGATGCCACTTAATTATTTTAATACACTTTGTATTACACAATTTAAAATAGAATTTAAAAATTCCTATTGTTTCCTATTGCAGAAAATGATTCTTTAATGCAATTATAATTTATTTGTAATTTAAAAATACTTAAAAAAATCTAAACCAAATGAAAAACCCTTTGCTTTAAACCTAACCTCCAAGGCAGAAATAGTTTTACTTCCTCAGTGAGATGGATCGCATCCCACCCTTCCTTAAAATTTCACCTCTTTGGGGAATTTCCTATGGTGAACATCGTTAACCATTTAAACTTTTCCCAGTTTTTTATTTAATACTGTTCCACCAGTCATATTCTCTCTGACATATTTCTAGGACATCATCCCATTTATTTTTGTTTCTAGCAGCCTGTTTGAAATAGTTGTGTTTAACACTTGGGACTTGTCCACATAGATGCCTCATTTGCCGGTAGTCACTGATGGAGTATTTTTGTTAAGTATAGCATGTGCCCCCCTCCGTTCGCACTCCTGCCTTAGGTGGTAATTCCCCAACTTCAGTGCGCAGCGGACTCCTGTGGGTGCAGGCCTGGGCATTCCATTTCCTTTCCTTCTCCAACCAGATTCCCGTTTGGTAGGTTCAAGCCAGCTCAGGTTTAGCATAACTGCTGAAGGGAGGGGCTGGGCCCTGGCCGGTGTGGCTCAGTTGGTAGGTTGTCCTCCTGTGCACCCAAAGGTTGCCGATTCGATTCCTGATCAGTTGCGGGCTTGATCCTGGTAGGGAGCATGCAGGAGGCAGCCCATCAGTGCTGCACTCTCGCATTGATGTTTCTCTCTCCCTCCCTCTCCCTTCCACTCTCTAAAAATCAATAAACTACCCTTTAAAAGAAGAGAGAGGGTGGCTGGGCCTTTCCTCTTGGTGCATTCCTCAGCACTTCATACTGTTTTAAGCCTGCTTGCCTCTCCTCATTTAAGTCTTCTTCCCTTTAGTCACTTGGAGTTGGCTACCCTTGAACTTGCCCCTGCCTCCAGCCTTATATTCTATTCTTCACTTCCCACCTTTCAGCGATGTTGAAGTACATCCCAGGTCTTGCTTCCTTGCCTTGCGGACGTTCCTTCTAGCTCAAAGGTTCCCAGCCAGACCCAGCCAGCCCAGCACCTTCCACCGCCATCCCAGTCTGGCTCCTACTTGATCTTTCAACCCTGTGCTCAAATAGACCACCCTACTAATGACACCCCCGTGCAGCGCCTCCTCTGTGCTTCCACTGGGCCTGGGATCTACCTCTCCTGTGACAGCCCTTGTCACGCCTTGTTGACTTATTAGCAGTTTTCCTTCCGTGTCGGCCTCCACGCTGCTCTGTCAACTCCCCGAAGCCAACCTGGCCCATGTCTTATTTGTCTTCCATGCTTGGAATGTTCTATTTTCTCAGGACATTTTGAATGAGCACCTAAGACACTGTCTGAACAGGTGCTGGATGACTGGAGAGTGTGAAGTCTGTCTTGGTTCACTTTTTCAGTATCACGCATTTTTCGTTGTTATAACTTCAAAGAATTTAGGTGATTTTGGTTAAATGTTGGCATGTTTAAAAAGTTATCAAGAAACATCCTAAGATCATTTTGTGTTTTCTGGTGGCTCTTCTTTTCCTCGTATGTCTGAAAATGTCTTTTAAATATGTTTTTTTAAATTGATTTCAGAGAGAGGAAGGGAGAGGAGAGAGAGATAGAACCATCAATGATGAGAGAGTCATTGATCGGCTGCCTCCTGCAGGCCCCTCACCGGGGATCGAGCCCGCAACCCGGGCATGTGCCCTGACCGGGAATTGAACCATGATCTCCTGGTTCATGGGTCGACACTCAACCACTGAGCCACTCGGGCTGGGCTAAAAATGTCTTTATTCTACCCTCATATTTGATTGGTTGTTTGGCTAGGTGTAAGAATTGTTGAAGTAATTTTCCTTTGGAATTTTAAAGGCCTTCTTCTTTATCTACACCTCTAACTGCTCTCCCCCTACCCACCCCCCAAAATAGCTCTAGAAAGCACTGAAGCTGCACAGGCCTAGGACTGGGAAGCTGGCAGGAACTGAGGCGGGTCGCTCTGCCCCCTTGGCATCCCTCCCGGCTTCTCTGTCAGTCGTTACACGTCCCGCTGCGAGGGGCTCTGCTGCTCCGCGCCCTTGGCTTCTTCACCCGCCCCGCACCCGCTCCGTGATGCCAGCTGCCTCGGCCCATTCGAGTCTCTGCCCTACCTCGCGTCTCTGACTTTTATTCTCCCTCCAAACTTGTTCGTTTAAAAAAGAAATTGCTAAATACAGATTCCCAAGAAACAAGTATGGTTTTCCCAGCTCATCTTTCTGGGCCAGATGAGATACCTCATGCGGTGTCCACAGCTTTGTCCCCGGACTGCCCTGTGTCGGGTCCCCATCCTTGGTCTAATCAGCTATGGCAGGACACCTGGCGTATTGTGTTCAAAATTTTGTCAATACAATAGGTGCAGAGTAATAGCTCATTATTGTCTTAATTTGCATTTCTCTAATTACTGAAGAACTTGGACATCCCATCATGTTCAATGGTCTTTTGGGTTATTGCTGCTATACATTTCCTGTTTGTGGCTTTTTGCCTATTTTCTCTATTGAGATTGCTGACTTAGTGTGGAATTTTAAAATGAAAAGTATTTTCAAAATTTCTGTATATTCAAAGATTTATAATTAAATTTGTGACAGGATTATAAAAGTTATTAAAAGATCCAATGACATATGAAGAGAAGCCAATAATTCACACTTCTAATTGTTTTGATTTTTACTATGCTGAGTGTGGGTGAATATTGCCATTCAGGAACTTTTTTCAGTATGAGAGAAATATACTAACACCATCATATGAAGAACGCTTTTCTAAATCAAAACCTAAGGTCATTTAAATCACATCACAAAAAAAGTATTGTTAGCAAAACTGCCTTGCAAGATGGATGTTACTTTCATGTTTAAAATAACAAATAGCATAAAAGATATGAAAAGGCTGAGAAACTAAGACTGATGAAAGGAGATAAAGAGATGAACCAAATGTAATGTGTGATCCTGGGACTCAGGAAAAAGATGCCAGAAAGTACATTACTGAGATAACCGGTGAATTTGAATAAGGACTCTATGTTAGATAATGGTGTTGTTGGCACTTTAAATTTCCATAATTTGATAATTATATTGTGCTGTTGACAGTGTATGTCCCTGTTCTGAGGAAACATGTTGAAATGACAATGGCTATGGCTCAGCAGAAGGAATAAGGCATAATACTATATTCGTATTTTTTTGTGTGCGTATGCATTTGCGGGTAGGTGGCATGATTTAGCTCTTATAACAGTAGATTTATCTATCTATCTATCTATCTATCTATCTATCTATCTATCTATCTATCTATCATCTATCTATCATCTATATCTATCTATCATCTGTCATCTGTCATCTATCATCTATCTATCTGTCATCTAGCACTAGCACAAATGTGGCAAAATACTTAACAACTGGTGAATCTTCAGTGAAGAATATTTTATTTTATTATTCTTTCCACCTCTCTGTAAGTTTGAAATTTTTTGTTTTCAAGATGAAAAGTTAAAAAACTGAAATAAAATGAAAATAAAAGACAGAGTCCAGAACAAAAATAGGTTTATAATAAGATTACTGGACGAGGGCCTGTTTATTATCAAAGTTAAAACTAAAGTTGGTAAGTTGTGGATGAATACGTGCTGAGTATTGTTACTATTTCTAATATTAGTAAGAGGCTACTTTGGTGGAGGGCACTGGATGCATTTTGCACTTCCTTGAAAGCAGTTAGTTACTTCCCTACATTTACTGCTTCCCTAAATCCGGATATCAAGCCAGTACCCCCTTGGGTCCCATGTTGACTCCTCCTTAATCTGGTTCCTTCCCTGCTGTAAAAATTCAACAAGACCACTCTGGACGGGAGCTTGTTCTGCTGCATCGCTCCCTTCCCTGCAGCCCCCATCGCTGGGTGACTGTCTGCAACGGCGTCCGTCTCTGGTACAACAAAGAAGCCCTTTGCACAGCTCAGAGGATAGGCTTTGAGCATGGTTTGTTTAATGGGGTAGCACAGACTGCGATAAAGCGTAGGCGGAATTGTCTAATTCCTAATAACCAATAGAATACACCAGAGGCTGTTCCTAAATCCGTGATAATTAGTCACGTGAGCAATGCCACAAACAACCTGCTGCTAAGTGGGACCAAGGTGGGAAGAGGGACCACTACCTTGGACGGGATTGGAAAGAGGGCTGGAGTGTCTCAGTGACACAAACTGGATTTATTTCTAAGATTCCATCCTCTCAGAAATATACACTGGGATGCAGACTGACCCACAGGCAA